TCCTCTCTGATGATGATTCCCCATGCCCAGGGATTCTGATATTAATTCTGCTTTCTGTTCATGATTTTTGTCCTTTGCCCTGTGGCAGAGGGAGCCAAGTGAAGTGCAGGGTGGTTCCTTCCTGCCGTACATGGGCATGCATGGAGAATTTGGGATGTTTTATTATCCAGCTGCAGCTGCTGTTTGCTTTGCTTTGCTCTGGCTCTTGGCATGTTTTATAGCAGTGTCTGGAAAATCAATTTTTCTTCTCCCAGCTACAAAGCAGTACATGTGTCCTTAAACAAAACCCCGTCATTCTGACCAACATCTTTAGTTTTTCTTCCCTGGTGTTGTCATGAAATCTCCTTCAGTCCCATATATTTGCTCTTTAATTTTAGTGTTGCTTTTAGTGATCTTACTTAGTTTGAGAACACTGTCAAACAAAAGATTATACAAAAGGGCTGCATGTGTATCTAGTGTTTCTAGAAAAGGGGTTGCTTTATTTTGATTATGCTTTCTAAACTGTAAAACTTCACTGGTTTCTTTCTTCTCTCCTCCTTGTTTACTACATACCTTCTTGTTTAAGGAAGTCAGAAGGGTTAGTGGGGAGAGCCACAGTTTAACTGCTCCTCAGATGGGGGTTTGTAGGAGAAGAAGGACCAGAGATGTTCTCCTGCTGCTCAGCCAGCCCATCCCTGTGGATAGAGAGGGGCAGCTCTGTGCCCATGGCAGGGATGTGGCTGTGGGGGCACCCAGGGCACCCCAAACCCAAAGCCTGCTCAGCTGATTGAAGCTGAACTTTGAAAAGGCATTTTTGTGACAGCAGCCTCTTAGATTTTTCTTTAGACCTTTAAGGCAACCTTAAAAACCAGATTCTGGGGGAGAGCAGGATGCTGCTCCATGGACTCCCGTAGCAGGGCTGTGCCACGTGCTGGCTCAACAGCCCTCAGAGTGTTTTGGGGCTAGTTAAAGATATTCCCATCAAAAAGGGCTTAATGTTGTTTTGTTTTTCAGAAAATATGTTGATTTCTCTTTAAACATCAGCGTTTTAGTGCTGTATTTTTGGTCACACCTGTAGCTGTGCAGGGCTATTTAACCCTCGTTATTGAGCAGCTGAAAGCAATATTTGTGTGGG